AACTGGTGAGCAGCCCACACTGCAAAAAAATCTAAATATTGATATGTAATTTTTTCTTAAAATAAGTGCATTTGTTCTTGGATTGAGGAGGTAAAAGAGACATTTTGCTAATAGATCAATACAATTTACACTTAAAATAAGAAAACACAATTGCATTGTCTTATTTCAAGTGCATAGGATCTAAATATCTTATTTAAAGTGTAAAAATACTAATTCCATTGACTCCATCTCATTTACCTACTCAAATTAAGGATAAATACACTTAGTTAAAAAAAATTGTAGTTATTTCTAGATTGTTTTTCTAGTCCAGGGTTGACCAGTCTATCCTAAGGCAACAAATACAGCGATGCAAAGAAAAACACACATGTTTGTATTTCTATGCATATTAGGAGTTTACATTGATTTACATTCCTTTTAGATCCTGAATTTATGCCTAACCCTGACATTTACCCCAATTCTAACCCTTTTCAGTATATTTCTAACCCTAACCTTAAACTAAAGTATTTCCCACCTTACATCTAAACTAACTTTGTAAGGTTAAAAATGGGGCTGCGCCACATTAGGACCAGACTTTTGGCCCCATAAGGTCTGTTGGTCCTCAGAAGGACAAATAAATATACCCAAAACGGTCCTAAATATGTCATACACTCACACAAACTTGTCTCACTATCTTTGTGGGGCCTTTCCATTGACCTAATACCTGACCCCAATGTAACCTTAATTAATATCTTAGTCTTAAACGTGACCCCTGATGTAAAAACAGCAATTCCCCTCATGGGGTCCAGGCATCGGGCCCCACAAGGAGCAGTCGGTCCCCACAACAATGTATTAAAAACAAGGGGTCTTAAAGATGAAGTGATCAGTGATATTTTTTTAAATTGTGGGTTGAACACAGAGAGAACAAATGCATGCAAAGGGAGAAAATGCAATCTCCATGCAGAACGACGCGGATCCAGGAATCAAATATAGGACCTCCCTGCTGCACGGCTACAGAGCAAGAAAGAGAAATATTTCATTTCAATATTACATTTCAAAGAAGTAAAAAAAAAACAATCCACTGGACTTTGATTCCATGTTTGAAGACATTTCACTTCTCATCCAGGAAGCTTTTTTAAATGAAAAATGTCAGAATTAGCATCAACTTCCAAGCGTTGTAGAGTTAAATTAAATATAGGAGAAAGCTGCAACAGGCCTTGTTGCTGGATACAATTAAACGTTGATATCCATTTTGTTGGTGAATAAGACCATTTTTAAACTTCTTACACTTTTTCTACATTTATGATACTTTGAAGCATTTCTTTTATTTAACATGACATTTTTCAAAAAGCAAAAATCCCCTAAGCACAGCTGCAGATCAGCCCAACCAAACTTAATCTCTTCTCTGAGTCTTATTGGGCTTTTTCTCTTTTTCTATGAAATACAAACAATTGCTTGTGAAAATTTACAAAAGGAGAGTGAAAGTGCAATAAATACCTTTTTTTTTTCACTCTGACATGTCCTCAGGCAAATAAAAACTTCTGTGTGACCGTGTCTGTTGAAATGTCCCACAGCGTCATGTGGGGCAATCTGTGGTCCCAGGACTGCAACATCTCCACAGAGTTAAGAAAGTCTGTATTTCACCTAATCCCTAACAAGTTACTCAACTTTAGAGCACCATATGGACCTCACCACAACCCCGCCAACAGAGCTCAGCTCCCAGATCATATACTGATAAAAAAAAAAAAAAAAATGTAAGTTTTATATTATTGTAGAAGGAAATGAGAAAAAACATTTGCAAGTAACGTTGGGTGATGCTTTTAAGTTCAGGCAGTTAAACCCCCCTGAAAAAACTCCCCCTAAATGACCTGTTAACAAACTGCAAAATGGGTTTGCCATATCTTAGATAGAAGAAGGAAAAATAGAACATTCAGAACCACCAAATATAATGTTTATTGTCGACTGAAATACAAAGCCTGGATGAGGAAAACACATTAACTCTGCTATAAATATTTAATTTTATTATAACTTCCTTTGCAGCCTTCAGCTCTGATGGTCCTGTCATGCATGCCAAGTGGAGCAAACACGGTTGGACATCAGTTACCACATTTTATACTAAAAAAATTTTGAAAATGTGATTTACTGTGGGAATAATAAGGGTGACACTTGTTGCAGAAGATTCTCTGGTTTGCTTCTTCAGACAAGCGGCAGCAGCAGGGTCAGGCACAGAGGAATGAAAGACCTCCATGAACCCCTGTCTCAATCTGCATGGAGGAATATTTGGGTGTTTGACATGCCACCTCTGGGTCTCTTATTTACAGCGCCACCCTGTGGCAGAAAATATGAAGAAACAGAAAAGAGCACAGATAGACAGACAGCTCACTCTGTCATGCACTGTTGGAAAGTTGTGATTTATGAGATACATAAACACATATAAGTTTATGATTTTTTTACATTAAGAAAAACTGAGGAAATCATTTAAGTCTGGTATATATTTGCATTTAGCCCCTTTGAGTGATTACTTTGAAGAACCAGAGTTTACTGCATTAAAGCTTAAAGTCTATTGGGAATAATGCCACCAGATTTAATCAAACATTCTGCCTATTTTTTTCAAATCTATAGACATAGATTTCTATACATTCTTGTTTGCAAAATAATTTAAGTTACTGACCCCATCTTCTCCGATAGGCCTCGAATAAATTCACACCAATCTTCTACCTTCGGAATTCTCCTTTTTTGATTAAAAAGAAAAAAATCTGTTCGCTATTACAATTTTTAACCTTAGAGATTTTTAAAGGACATTAGGTAACAAACAGCATCATAAAGTCAAAGGAACGTGGCACACAGGAAGAGTTAAGGATCTGCACGTTTTAAGTGGTTATAAAACAACTTCCCAAGTTTTGATCGTAAAACACAACAATGTTTATATTGTCACCTGAACAACTGCAAACCTACAAAAACACCACTTTTGTCTCAAAGTGACAGGCTGGTCAAGGACTGCAATGGTCAAAAGCCCGTGGTCATTTTAGAGCAGCTGCTGAGATCTGTAGCTCAGGTGGGAAAGTTCTTTGACTACTTTTAGTTTTTCGCAGGTCTAGTTTAGTTTATATGTAAGAGGTCTTTTAGTTATTAGGCTCCTCTCTTATAGAACCAGCTACCAGTTTAAGTCTGTGAGGCTGACATCCTTTCTACTATTAAGATTAGGCTTGAAACTCAGGATAACAAAAGCTATCCTGAGGTATCTCTATAGTTATGCTGCTATAGGCTTAGACTGCTGGAGGACATAAGAGCAACTTTTAACCATTCTGCTTCATTGTATCTCGGTTCTCCCATTCTGCAGTATTTGTTGAATGGTTACCCCTAACCTGAAAAAAAAAAAGTTTTCAGTGTAATATGGGGAAAATGTCAGAATTCTGAGATTAATGTCAGAATTCTAACTTTCCCCCCATATTAAAATGAAATAATATTTAAAAATCAGTTAACTTTTTTTTTTTTTTTTCAGTGGCCCTAATACTCTTCCATATTTTTCTGTACATGTCATGATGGTTTTTAAAGATCTCACCCACATGCAGAGTTTCACTCAGAGAGCCAGGGGAAAAGTTAACAGGTTTATTGAGAGGTTGACAAAAATAACAGAGAAAGAGATTATAAGCAGAGTTATCACAGTGGGACTTCAGCGGTCTGGTGATCCGGAACTGGAAACTGTTAGGGGAGATCAAAAGGATCAGTTCAAGGTCCGTAGGGAAAATGAATGAGATTGGTGAATTGCTGGAGAAGACTCACGTTAGGGAGATTCTAGGTTTTCCTTGGGTCCAGTTTGTGGGGGGTTTAATCCTGAGATGAAGGAACTCGTTGTAGGGCGGACGGCAGACTTGCCTTGGGTCCAGAGGAGCAATGGAATGGACTGTCACCGGGTTTTCCTCAAGTGGGCTCGAACAGATCTGGTGAAGGTTTCCCCTAGTTCAGTGTGACTCGAATTATTGCTTCCAAGGGGGGGGGGGGGGGGGGGGGGGGGGGTAAAAGGACCAGGCTTATCCAATGGATCAGGAGGGCATCCTACTGGAGAACAAAGACAAAGGCAAGGCTTAGACTCAGAGAGACAAAGCAAAGGTTAGACTCTGCTAATCTTGGTAAGGCTAGAGTACCCAATACTGCCAAACACTCTGGCGTCGAGGTGGTGACAGTCCGCAGCTCAAGTACTCCTCTGGTAATAACCCAACGAGCCGCAGGTGTGCAGGGAGGCCCAACGAGGACAAGGCACCGCCTGGTGGTGGGGAGAGGAAAAAACACAGAAAACAACCCACACAAACTGGAACCCTAACAGTATATCTTTTATTGGAAATTTAGATTAATATTGTTATTTTGTTATGTACGTATTGCTGTCACTTGAGAAAATAAATATTTTTCTCAAATTTTATTTCAGTGTAATTTGGGGGAAAAAAAGTCAGAATACTGAGATTAAAGTAAGAATTCTGACTTTTTTCCCATATTAAACTGAAATAAAATGTAAAAATCAGTTAACTTTTTTTTTTTTTAGTGGCTCTAATCCTCTTCCGTATTTCTCTGTATATCTTTTATTGGAATTTCTAATGAATATTTTTGTTTTTGTTTTGTTATGTACAGAAGCGTATTGCTGTCATTTGAGAAAATAAATATTTCTCTCAAATTTTATTTCAGTGAAATGGGGGGGTCAGAATTCTGAGATTAAAGTCAGAATTCTCACTTTCCCCCCCTATATTAAGCTGAAATAATATTTAAAAATCAGTTAACTTTTTTTTCAGTGGCTCTAATCCTCTTCCGTATTTCTCTGTATATCTTTTATTGGAAATTTAAATTAATATTTTTGTTTTGTTCTGCCACTTGAGAAAATTAATATTTGATAACAAATATATTGTGTAAACGTGATAACTTATATGCTTTTAGTCAGTAGTAACCGCGAGACTCATTTGTCTGGTTTTATTTTGGAGTTTATCCTTTTAGCAGCCACTTTTTTTGTCAAAGTGAATCATCACTTTACGTACACGATCTTTGTCGGCAGGTTAGACGCTTTCTTGACGATCTCAGACGATTTTTCTCGAAGTTCTCCGCCGCCGGTCGCGCTGTCCCCTTTAAACAGGCGTCTCTCCGCAGTTTTCCACCCTCTTTGTCCGCCTGTCTGCTCATTCCCCTTTAAGGTGATGTCGTACCCACTTCTGGCTTATTATTCCCTCTTGTTCCTGTTGTAATGTCGGCGCTCGGACACTCGGACTAACAGCAGCACCGAACCGGGTCCCCCATCACATGTCCAAACCCCGGAGCCTTAGCTGAGCTCCGGACTGACAGTCGCCTGCTGTCCGAATCAAAGGTGGGGAACACCAGAAGCTGCTCTCCTCCTGGATAGAAATGTCTGCTCAGATGTTAGAGAAGCAGGCTGGACCAGCTGAGGATCGGAGGATGTGGTGAAATCCGTCCAAACCCCGCGATGTTACGGATGTTTGGAGGAAACAAGGCGCTCATTTCTGGCTCCAGTTTAACCTTCTTTTAATCAACGGTAAGTGAATGTGGGGATTTACTCTGGGAGCCACGCAGATGCTGGAAAAACATCCGCTTTTATTTTTGTTTAGTTATTTTTTTCCGTGGCAGGTGTCTTTAACAGGGGGGCCCCTCCATCACTGCTGCTCTGTTTTCAGAGGCCAGCCAGTTTGGCCCCTGGTGTTACATTCCTTCCACGTCCTTTCCCTTCAACCTCCTAAAAAAACAAGAAAAAAAGCTCTTATGTAACCCAGTGGGATTCCTTTTCTGTTAGACTTCCTCGCCCTGTGGAAGGAAAACACTCCTGCAGGAGCCCCATGTGGGCAGACAGGCTGTCCCAGAGACACATCAGAGCTCCCTATACTCACAAAACTTTATTATCCTCCAACAAAAACAATGATCTGGATTTTAACTGATGGTTATGAGGTTGTTATTAAAGTGATGTCAGACTCTGTGAGGCTTTTATTAGGTTAGAATGATGTAATGAATCCATAGAATCTTCTCATTGTATTTAAAAGGAGATCCCACAGCATGATGCTACCACTACCATGTTTTTCTGTGTATTCTGTATTTTTTAGAGCTCTGTGGACCTCCATCCCCAAACGATGACATCCCCCGACTCGCCTCCCCTCATCTCCCCTTCTCCATGTCCAGCGCCTCCCCCGTCCCTGCCCTCCTCCCCGCTTCCTACCTCCCCGGCCCCGTCCTCCTCCTCCCTCCCCGCCCCGCCCTCGCTGCCCCCCACAGGTGAGGTGATGGTGCTGGCTCTGGGCAGGAAGAAGCAGCGCGTGCTGATTGCTCTCTCCATCCTACCCAACCTTTTCCTGGCCTTCCTGCTCTCCTCCGACCCCCTCATCACCCTCTCCCCTCCCCACCACTGCCGCCTGCCCGGCCCGTCGCCTGCGCCGGAGGTCCTGAACGCCTCCCTTCCCTGGGAGAAGGGGGTGAGGCCCGGGGAGACGGGGAGCCCATCGCAGTGTAAGCAGTACGCGAACAGCAGCCAGTCGGCCGTGGTGGACTGCGAGGGCGGATGGGACTACAACGTCACAGAGGGGCTGAAGAACAACATCGTGACGGAGGTAAAGCTTCAGCCTCTGGCCTTCTGCTGGGTGTCTTTGCTTTATTTTCCTTTTAATATTAAAGGCAGCTGCCCATCCTGGCAGGCTGTGCTAATTCCATTTAGCATCACAAACTTATTTAAACAGGGGAACACCCAAATAAAAGTCTGTGTGACGCTCCACAAGTGTTTTATAGGATTATAACCCTCTTAGCTTCAAACAGGATTACATACAGAACATTCCTGGCTACTTTCGGCTTTCATTCATTTCAAGTATTATAATAATCTAAAAAAAGCTTCCTTGGATCTCCTAATTGGTGACATGCTGTTTCCTGTTCATTTCAACATACTTCTGTATGAGGCTGCGTTCCTCTAGGCCTCTCCTCCTTCCACAGATAACCAACCGGACAGCTTTTTTGATGGTTTAAATAAATGTAAACACTAATGTGAATGAGAATAATATAATTATACCTTTTTTTTTGTTCTGATTCACTAAATCCATTTCCTTCAACTAAAAATGTTCTGAACATTTAAGGATTAAAATCAGTTAAAAGATGTAACTATTTAAAAAGATGCAAATAATATTGTTGAATAATAGGCCCTATTTAAGGTGAAGGAATAAAATGAAATGAAAGGTAACTGCATTTAAATGTGATATGATGTAAATGATATCTACTTTTTACACACAGGAAGTATTAAATAGTGAAGGTTTTGCTTACAAATTCTTATTTGGCTATTAAATGTTAAAACTACTTGCCATAATCGCAGAGGAAACCATTAATAACATGATTTAAACTTGATAAAAATACATCAGGGTTATTATTTTGTTAAATAAAAGTTTTAAATAAAGGACAGATATAAGAAAGTTTAAAGAACAGATGGGGTTGGGGGGGGGGGGGGGTGTCAGCCTTACAATAGTGTACAAATAAACGCAGCAGCTTTTCTCTTGGCTTTAAAGGAGATTGGATAGAGATAAAAACTCCTCCTGTTTTGTACAAAGCACCACTTCTGCTGCTTCTGCTGCCTTCAGCTACAGATGAAGCAACAACTTTATGAGCGTCAGAGTCCGTTCGCTTGTCCTTAGCGGCTGTCAGTAGGAGCTAAAGCAGACGACATGAACCAGGAGGTAGTGCAGGCAGATCTGCAGTCTTAAAACGACATCTTTGCTAAATGTTGTGCTCCTGGACCAGGCTAGCTGCTCAATGCTATTCGGTTTTTCTATAATTCACACACAAGCAGAGAAGAAAAATGCACAGCAGTGCTGTGAATGAGGAGCAGCCAGCAGGAGTGCAAACAAACAGGTTTAACACTTCGGCTGGTACTGTTTCAAACATCTGGCGGCCATGTTGGATTTAAAGACAACAAACCCCTCTTCTTTTGCTGCATTTTTGATGTTACTTGGAAAAACTGGAGGTAAAGCTGTTTAGTGTAACACAGGAACTCTGCCGTGATGATTTTTTACAGACTTAGGGTGGGAACGATTCTCAGATCTCTGTTTCTGCTGCTAATCGAAAAGAGTTGGGACTCTTTTAGGCTCCCTTCGCTATCTCCTGCAGGTTCTTCTCATTTTCATCTCTTTCAGCTGGATGCTGATGCGGTTCAGGCTGGGATTTGTTATTTTTTTATGTGGTGAAGTCTTCTGAGAAGTCTTCACCTTAGGTGATCTGCGGAAGTCAATGATTGTCTTTGAGTTCAGGTTGGTTAAAGGAAAAAACAGCAGGACTGTTTTTTTTTCCATATCCATTTGTAGTTCTAAAGGGCTTTTTTTGGGAGGATTTCTGGGGTTGAACCATTTAGAACAGAGACCAAGGCATTCAAATAAGGAAATATTTATTATTTGGGAATGAAGGACAAAATAAATCTTTTCTTCATTCTAGTTTATATTTACACGACTGCTTTGGCCAACATCAATCATTTGCTTTCCAGCTTTGTGCTCCTTGAGTATAAGAGAATAACTTTGTATCCTGGAGCTTTTAAGCTGTAATTAAAGCAGCAGCTGATTCCTGGACTTCATCCATATGCTCCCTCTCACCTCTACAGCATGCATCATGGATTGTAAACTTGTCGCCCCATTTTTTTTCTGTTTCTGACCACACTGCTGTAGGAGCCCCACCCAGTCCACAGAGTTGGGGCAGTATGCTAGTAATCCACCCACACCACTGCAGCACACGGAAAAAGGCTCAAACGCTGCCAAGGGAGGCATTTGGATGCAAAAGCATCCGTGTTGTGAAAGCGTTGCCCAGCAGTGCTCACACTCAGGTTTGCAGACAGGATGCTCTGCTGTCTGTGAGGCTTTTCCTCCTTTATTTTGTGCAGCGTCTTTGTGCTGAGGTGGCAGTATGTTTGAAATGAGGCAGGAGAAGCTCCTGATTAGCTTTAACTCCGACACGGATCGATAAACTTTCCCATTTCTTTAAAGGTTCGCCTCCTTTAAGACGTCAACGCTGTAGATGGAGTCTTTCAGGAGTGTTTGAAACACTTTCAGATGTTGCTACAACAAACATTAACTGTGTAACATTGGGATTTATTTATTGAGATCAAAACAAAGTTGTTTTTTATTTGTTTCAAATTAAACAACTAAAAAAGTTCAGGTAGATTTGCACATCTAGAAACAAAATTGGTGACTTTTTTAGAGAAAAGCAAAAATAAAATATTAATCAGTCAGTTTATCCGGAGGAAAATGATTACCTGCAGATTTAAAGAGACATTATGGAGTTTTCTGTGATGCTGCCACCTGTGGCTAAAACACAGAACTGCAGCTCTCCTCTGGTCGATCTCGTAGGTTGCACTCGTACTTGGCAGGGTTGATTTTCTCATTTTTCGTGGGGTTGCCATTGGTGTCTGAGTTAAGCTGGATGCCGGTCGCAGTTGAGCGTCCACAAAAAAAAGTTTATAATATAATACTTTGATTCTTTTGTAGCTCGGAACCATTTGGACACGCTTGACACCGAACAGCGCGAGAACTTCCGACCCAAAGTAAATTCAGGAAATGCTAAGAAGCGTCGCTGCTCAGTCTTCTACTCAAACGATGTTTTAGTCGTAAAGCGTCAAATAAAAAGACTGTTTTGAAGCTATTTTCAGTAACAACATGCGTAATATCACAAGATATCAAGATTTGCTTATATTACGGATCTTTGACTAGACCATTTTATTGATGGATATGTTTTAAATTAGAGCCGATGCTCATCTGAAAGGCTTCTGAAAGGCATGATGCTGCCACCACCGTGCTTCAAAGCAGGGAAGATGGAGCGTTTACCATGATGTTAAGTGTTTTTTTTAAAATGCATGCTGGAAAATCTGATGGGATCGTCTTCTACTTAGTTGAGTCAAACTAATTTATTAACGACTTTTTTTTTTTAACCATTGCTTGCATCTCCCTGGATTTAGTCCACCATCTTTGGGTTTTGGCTGTCATAACATTCCCCCAGCTGACTTGTGGTCTAGAGAGCTCAGCTTCCTCTCTGATCATTCTCTCCTTTCTCAGCTACTCAGATTAGGTGGACTGAATGTTTTTAACTGTTAAAAATAAATCTTGTTAAACCAAACTCTGCTTTAAACTTCTCTGTAGGCTACATTTCTCCTTGCCCTTCATTTTTCATTTTTTCCCTAATGATTTCTCTAACAGACCTTATTTACTGGTCAGGTGACCTCAAGGGTGACGGGTATGTTGTTTTTTTCCTTCCTCTAATCAATGAAGGCCTACTGTGTGGCCTGGCTGCAGGTTTGCGTCCCTGTGAACAATCTCTCTGATCTCACCAAACCAGTCAGGTCAGTTTCAGAACCTGTTAGTTCCCATTCCCGCTCCGCTCCTGTCGTGCAAAGCATTCCGGCCGTGTGACTGCCTTGCAGCCGGGCCGTCCCTTTGTCCGACCGCTGTGTTCTTTTGTGCTCCTGTTACCCGGGCAACAGGACGGCTGATATGACGTGACGGTCTCCTAATGTTTCGGCTCCAACTCCCTTCAAACCGGATCGTTCAAACCGTACTTTGCTTCCCTTCAGTGGAGCTTAGCTCATGCAAATCAGTGGATCCGTTTAATGAGACCCAATCTGAAAGCAGAGAAACAAATGTTCTATTGACCTCACTTTCTTTAAGGCTGTTAACCGGTATTCTACCTCACCTTCTCTAACTAAAGAGATCGAAGCTTCTGTTCGATATCCCTCCTCTGGTGGACTTTCATCACTGATTTCACTGATTGTTTACCACGGCTTTCTGTTCATTTTCTGCACTTCGATGCTCGTCCAAAACGATCTTTCTGTAAAATGGAAATGTCCTGACTGCAGCAGGTCATGTCTGACAGCGCTCTCTCTCTCTCTCTCCGTCTGTCCAGTGGGATCTGGTGTGCGCCCAGTACTGGCTGGTTCCGGTGGAGGAGGTGTGCTTCATCCTGGGCGTTCTGATGGGCTGCCTCGGCCTGGGCTACGCTGCTGACAGGTAATGTATTCGGTGCTCAGTGAATGAAGAAACAATCTAAGCAGCGTTTTTCTTCTTTCTTACAGATCTGTTCATTTTTCTTTAATCCAGTCGCTTTGGTCCAGGTTTCCTCTGTGGAGATTTATGTATTTGTTTCCAGTCTGTGGAACAAAGAGATATAAACTAGTAAAAAAAAAAATACTATGGAGTCAATGAGCTTGTTGTTAGCACAGCTGGAAAGAAAGATAGACATGTTCAACCTTTGGTGAGATCGGAGCTCATGTGTGAAATTCAATGAGTTATGGTGAACTGAACAAGCAATAGTCAATAGTTTCCAAATGATTGAGTTCAGGTGTTCCAGTCATTTCCTGGTTCACAGCTGCCACACATACAGACATTATCCTGCAGAAGGAGGATCCATTTTTCTGTTCCTTTCTACCAAATATTTCACAGGTGACTGTTGGTGATACTATAACTAATTTAAAGGGTTATGTATCAGCAGCTACTCACGAGGTGGAAGGGATGATGTCACCAACCTTTTGCAGTCAGTTTCACACCTTTAACTTTCATTTGGCCTTTAGAGTTGATGAAAAACAGTTTGTAGAAAGCAGAGCTGACCGATACGTCAGCAGGACGATATTCTAGGCTGCTAGCGTATTTTGTGCATCTGTGCAGGTGTTTGTCGATTCATTACTGCGTTCAGCAGCCATGTTGGAGATCAGGAAACGCCCATGCATTGCTGCTCCGCCCATTTGCATCAATGTTTTCTTTGTTTTGTTTATAAATGTGTGAGACACGTGTAACATTTGCTATCCTTGTTTCATTTTTTACCATGTAAATAGAGAAAAAGCGATACTGCGGTTGGTAGGGTCAAAATAATCGGCATCAGCCTTAGAAATTCAATAAAAAGAAGCTGCATTGGTCGATGTAGAGAATGAGCTTTAGGAGCTTAAACGAGTAAATGTTTCCTTTCTGTTTGGGATTTTCCAGGAGAAAAGCTCTTGTTTAGCTGGAATGCGTTAAAGAACGGCTGGTGGTGAAGGTAGAGAAGGCGTTTTTTTTCCTTTTTTATTTAAATTTCAATTTGTTTAATTCAGTTTCAACATAATGAAATGTTTCAAAAAATGTTTGAACTCCAGCTCTGTAGCAACACTTCTATCTAAAGGAAGTCGCACAAACTCTTGTGCCGTTTCTCAATTAACAAGAATGCGAGTACGGACTCATGCCCTTGCCAAGTATGTGTTAGAGAAGAACGCAGGAAAGTCGGGACTTTCGCAGCATAAATACTGGTCAATTGGAACTGAAGCGTGCTGATGATGTCACCACACGCTCAGCTCGTCTAGAGCTGCATTTCACCTGCTGTTATTAATAGTCTCTAGATGCTAAATTCTTACTTTTTTCATTTAGTGGGGGAATAATATTTACCAAAGTCAGATAAACACAAATCAAATTAAAATTTTTCCAAATAAAACAAGAATATATCGCCATCAGAGCCAGCAGTCCTTCACACACGGCTATGCAGAGAGAGGGTTGCTGCAGACGGGCTGCGGTTAGCCCTGGCTGCCGTTACCCTCGGAGCTCCGCTGGTTGCCGCAGTGCTCTCAACTTCTGAATTTTTCTTCAAATTACGCATTAAATCGGTAAATGGACCATATAGTGACAGTTTAAAGTATAATATTCTCGTCTCAAATAATCTTAAAATGTACTTTTATTGAGCAACAGAAAAGAGAACTTTTAACAATAGTCTGAGCTCTGTAGGTGCTCCAATGGAAGCTGCTGCTGCAGTGCATGCTGGGACAGCTGTCAATCTCAAGAATGGACAAGTCTGCTCTGATGCATGCTGGGTAAAGAGGGAGGGGCAAGAACAACATACGGGAACTTTGTCCTTTCTCTGTCTGCTGTTCTGGTGAATTGGAACAGTACTGGGGCTGAGGTCTATGACGTTTCACGAGTACACGAGCACATGAGAATGCACAAGTACACGTATTGAGAAACGGCCTTGGTCTCAACCTGATATAATGACTTTAAAACAAACTCATCTTAATCTGACCTCACAAATGCTGCACAAATCCCCTAAAACCCAGTCCTAAAAGTTGTATAAAGCCCTACCAAAGCCCCATTGAAAGCTTAGCTACCTTCATATTACACCCTATTGATTAATAATCGGATCCAACTCTAGTTTACGTCTTCTATCAAACTCGGATGTGGCAGCATCATGCTGTGTGGAGGCTTAATCCCTGCATGAAAATGACTTTACAACTATCTATTACATTTCGATTTGTCTGTTACAGAAAATCCCCAATTAATTACATAAAAAGGTAAAGTTTTTTTAGACCAGATAACCATAGATAGTGACCCTCTGCAGCTTTCTGCTAAATGGACCCGGGAAAGGTTTAGCCGCAGTCCTGGTAAGATTTGGAGGGAGATGATGTCATTCCAATCAGCTAACGACCCTCATTAATTTCCTGACCTGCTGAGGGTGTGTTAGGGCGAGTAATTTAATGCTGGATCCTCGAAGGACCCAAAGAAGAGGCTGCAACAGGAAACAGGAGACCGCCAAACTGTAATTCAGGACTGATATACGGTCACTATTGATTCGCTAAGCATCTTAGTTTTTTGGCTTTTTGAGGAAGAAGAGTTATTTAAATTTGTCTTGAAGTTAAACAATGTTTTTTTTAAAACAAACTCTTTGAAATCTGAAGGTAAATAACAGATTTAACTCTAAATAGTCTTGTTTATGTCCCCCCATCCTCTTCTTTCTTTCTTTTTTTTTTTTTTTTGTTTTAACCCGATCTTAGTTCAAACGTGTCTCAGCTGCTCCTCTTTGTGTTGCTGTTTCTGCAGGCTGGGTCGCTCCAAAACCCTGCTGATCTCCCTCACCCTGTCGGTGGTGTTCGGGGTGCTGGTGTGTGTCTCTCCGTACCCCTCCATCTTCATCGTCATGCGGTTCTGCCTGGCTGCCGCCAGTGCAGGCGTCTATCTAACCCTGTATATCACCCGTAAGTAAAACTTGTTATTGAAATAGCGCAGTAGGTCTCCCTGTTTAGTTTTTAAGTATTATCTGCAGCAGCAGGTTGGTTTTTCAGTATAATTCAGGAAGCAATCGGTGTGTTTTATCGAATGCTTGTTAAAACTCTGACTGTTTGATCTCTCTGGTCGTCCTCAGGAGCCTCTGAGGCCTGATAGGTTATGGATATATGTAACATAAAAGAATGACTATTTAGGGCATAATTAAATCCTATGGGGATTTATTCTGCGTTTTATTAGGATTTGTGCTGCCTTAACCGAAAGGCAGCACAATCTTCACAATCATTCACAATCTAAAAATCTTTGATTTTATCTGTATTTTAGGTGAAAAGGCCAACATAGTCCAGCATGTAAAGAATAATCATGAATTGAAAGGAAGATGATTCACGGTTTTTCTTTTTTCTTTTCGGGTGGGGGAATACATTCTGAAAAGTGTGGCATGTGTTTGCCAAAAGGGTCTTTAACTCTAAAACGTCTAAATCAAATAGTTGAAATGAAAACGTAGCTCAGTGGCGCAGTGGGTAGCACTGCTGCCTTGCAGCAAGAAGGTTCCGGGTTTTATTCTCTACCCAGGGTCTTTCTGCAGGTTTGCATGTTCTCCCTGAGCATGCGTGGGTTCTCTCCGGGTACTCCGGCTTCCTCCCACAGTCCAAAAACATGACTGTTAGGTTAACTGGCTTCTCTAAATCCTCCTTAGGGCTGATTTATTCTCACCAACCAGGTTGTTTGTGTCGCAGTGAATGCAAATGTGCCTCTAACCCTTCCGCAAACACTCTGCTGCACCTCTCTAAAATTGTAGTTGACCACAGACAGGAGGCCTCTGATTGGTCAAATCTACATCTGCGCTATGCTATGCGTATTTCCTGTTTGCTACCTTACCGGCTTGTTTTGTTTGTATGACCGCCATTGTGGGAAAACAACTCGTGATGATGGACCAGTTAGAAGAGCGAGAAAGTGCAAAAGAACGCTGGGACCCTTTTTACACCTGGATCCCCGCTCTTTTTGGCCCTCATGTCCCTCCGTTGTCGCACAAACTCGCCCCCACTTCCTCACCACCTTGGCCGTATCTAGACCCACAGCTAGTTCGCTAGTTCGTGATTGCGTTGTGGCGTGGAATAACATAGCGCAGACCACGCTTCAATATTGGGAATAAATAAAAAATATCTGCGACAAGCTCACTGCGACACACTGCTGCAGGAGGATAACCAGCCCTTAAGGTGTGAATGGTTGTTTGTCCTGTTTGTCTCGGTGTTGGACGGGCGACCTGTCCAGGGTGGACCCCTCCTCTCGCCCATTAACGGCTGAAATTAGGCACCAGCATCCCTCGTGACCCCAGCAGGGATAAGCGTGACAGAAATTGGATGGATGGATGAAAACGTAGCCGAATGATAAAGATGGAATTAAATTTAAAATTTTACGAATCTGGTTTGAATCGATTCCTTTTGATCCAAACCTTTCTGAAATTAGATTGCTGGCATTAAACATTTTGTTTAGGTTTTACTTTAGTGACATCTTGATACCCGTATTATATTCAGCATTCAAAAGCAATTAAATAAAGTAATGGTAGTTAATAGCAGCTGTAAGGATGGGTGGGAAATACAAATTAGAAAAATCCCCAAATCTTTGGTTAAATGAATCTATCTTTAGATAGATTTAATTTATAAGCATTTTGATTCCGAATCGGAAAATTTATTTTGTGTAACACAGCACTACTAGATTCAGTTCAATTCAGTTTATTTATATAGCAAAAATTCACAACACACGTCATCTCAAGGCAATTCAACCAGATCATACAGTCAAATTGATTCAGTTTTCTATCTAAGGAAAACCAGCTGATTGCATCGACTCATTGACTCTTCAGCAATCCCTCACACTAAGCATGTTTGTAGCGACATGAGATACAAGTCGAACAAAGAGAGCTTTAAACAGAGAAGCAGCCCAGAGATCCACGGTTTAGGTGGGAGAATCTGCCAAAGGGGGAACAAGAAACTTAACATCACCTTAAATACATCAGTCTCATCACAAATCATGGTGGTGGAAGCATCATGCTGTGGGGATGCGCTTTAAGAAAGGATGGACACCATCGAGTTAAACAACCAAAGCTGCTGGTAAATTAGTACGGCCTAGTCAAAGCCTGGAACTAAAGACATTAGTGAATATGACTTTGAAGAGAGACTAATCTGATCTAATTTGGTGGAGTTTGAGTCTCTAAATAAAAAGCTTATAGAGACGTATCTGTTTAAAACATTCATTTAGGATCAATCTATAGAGTTTTATGTGTACAGTGTAGTAAAAACGATGCATCCTCTCCTAAAGTTTCACGACTATTCGCTGATTTTTGTCGATGTTCCTGTTCTCTGGGACAAAGGGGGGTGAATACTTTGGCGCTTTATTATTTTTTACCCTCAAAGATGCTGTTTGGTTCCTGCTAAGACCAAACATCCCCCCCACCAATCCTGATGTCAGCTTGTTTGTTGATGTAAGTGACTGATATGTCTGCTCAGGCTCGCCTGGTTAAATATCCATAATTAGCTTTTAATTGGTGCTTTGAGCCAGAGTCAAAAGACTGCATTTGTAAACAGCAGCATGTAATTACCTAGCTGGTTTACCATGCTAAAAGAGTCGAATGTGTTTGCAAGACGAAAGCTCCTCTAGATTAGAGTCAGACACGGAAGATTAGCATCCTAGAGGAGAGCAAATTAGACTAACGATGTTTCCTTGCCTGCTAGGTCTGGAGCTCTGTGAGCCGTCCCTCCGGCTTGTGGCGACCATGCTGGCCGGACTCATGACTGTGGCAGGAGAGCTGCTGCTGCTGGCCGTGGCCCTGGGCTGCCAGTCCTGGAGGGGTCTGCTGGGAGCTGGGGCGGCCCCTCTAACACTCTTCCTCAGCTATGGGTACAATCACTTACTAAAGTACTTTACTTCCTTTTAAGCAAAAGAACTTGAGAAATGATGGCCTCAGTATTAAAAGCACCTGTTTCTGAGAGCCAGCTGGCTTCCAGATAGCTCTGTCAGATTGTATTGATCTCCTCTTTGCTCGTGTCAGAGCACATTAGAGCCACTTTATTCAACGTGTCAGCTTTCTGCTGGAAAAACAAGCCTTCAAACTTAATCACATCTGGTTATTAGCAGATTTGTAGCAATAATCTGAAAATGTCAGTAAGAAGGGATTAAAGTCTCGCACCGCTTGCTGACCTGCACTGTTTATTTCCTATGATGGAATAAATCCTGGCTGCTAAATCCACCTTAGCTTTCAGATGATTAAGTTTGTGGCCAAAGGGTGATTATATTTGCTTTTCCTGTCCTGCAGTATTCCCGGTGTGTTCCCAGAGTCTCCTCGCTGGCTCCTCCTCACAGAGCGATCTGCAGACATGAACGCCTTCAACGAGAGAAGGAACTCCAACCGAGACCTGAGGGATGACGAGAGCTTCACAGGTTTGTCCATCTCTGGGCTTCTTTTTTAAGTAATGCTTTTAAAGTAGCACTATGCTAAGCTAGTAAACTAGCCCCACCCGCCAGCGGCCAAAATCATTTTTGCCTGCGAGTGGTCTAGCCTCGATCAATGCCTTAGAACTGGCGGGCCAATCACAACGCAGAGATGTGTTTTGAACTTTTCGATGCAAAGCTGGCGGGGTATTGAGGGTGTGACGACAAAGCTGCGCAACGCTGGAGAAACCACAACAGGAAGATGGCAACAACTATTGAACTATTGACTCAGCTTTGGAATCAGTTTTGGAAGGATTAGACTTGGGGTTTTCTTTGAAACGTGAGCAGGGAGAGGCTCTACGCTCATTCATTTTTAAGAAGGATGTATTCGCCATTTTACCGACAGGCTGTTTGTTTACACTCCCCCACCAGCTTTCTGCTGCACTTCCTACGTCACAGTCAGTTGTACTCATTGGTCAGAGCGTTAGCCAATAGGCACAGACATGGTTTGATAAACAACTGGTTGTCTTTTGATGTCTCATTCATCGGGGCCAGACTAAATTACACATTTATAGGATTCCCGCGGGTCCTTAAAAAGTCTTAAAAGGCATTGAATTCTTTAAAATAAAATTAAGGCCTTAATTGGTATTAAAATGTCTTAAATCAGTCTTTCGTAGGTCTTAATTTTTAAAACATCACAAATAGGATTATTTTTATAACGATTTATTTTTGTAATCTAAATAAAACGTTAAAATTGACATTTTTTTTTATTATTAAAAAAATATATATAGGCTCACTATTATTGGTTCCGCCATTTACTTTTTGTCTGGAAAATATGAGCAAGTGTAAATGTAACCAAAATTGTCTCCAGCCAAGAGTTTTCTCCATGGCTAAAACCAGGGAACATACATGAGGCTCAGTTTATTTTGTGCAAAAAGCAATTCAAGCTCAGAACGATGGGAATTAAGGCAGTGGAGTCGCACATGCGAAGCACGAAACACAAAGCGTCAAAATGGAGTTACCGAGAAACAGCCGGTATTTCTCAGTTTTGTTCCACCCTTGTCTCTGCAACGCCTCCACTTATCACCAAATCAAACATACTAAGAAAACAATGCAAAGAAAAATAGCTGCAAAAAGACTTAGCACTGGTTATGTTGTGGCTTTAAAACTGATTTGTTTTATTCCCTGCTACAACAAGGTTTGTGAATTCAGTTAAATAATTGTTAAATATATCTGTCATTTGTGTGTTTTTAGCTTTCTTCCTGTATGGGAAGCTTTTCCAAATGTGAAACATTAGTGCAGTGGTTTATGTTAAAATAAACCTTTGGGTTAAGTTGTCGCAAGCAGGTTTTTCTTGTGTTTCTTGTAAATTTGGTCTTAAATTTTTATTTCAAGTGGCATTAAAAAGTCTTAAAAAGTCTTGAATTTAACTTGCCTTATGCTGTAGGAACCCTGATTTAATCTCACATTTAGTCTGGTTTATCAGGCTAGCACTATGCAACATTTTAATTTATTAATTCAGTATTTTTATATCTTAATATATCATCTTCTAAGTCCCAATAAATGGTAACCTAAGTGTTTATGAGACGATGGTGGATTCTGTCATCTCCCTCCTACTTTCTTTGGCTGAAAAACACACTTGCAGTTTTCTTGGTCACCGACCCGGTGGCAGTGTCACTCTTTTCTTATTCTAGCTGTAAGACGAACAGCTTTTGGCATCCAGATGTGAAGCCATCGGCATCGATAGCCACACGCCTCTCAGTGGGCTAATCACAGCTCATCATTTACAGATGCTTTGCTGAGATGCCAGGGATAGGGTCGCAACCGTCTGATGAAAAAATGCTGCCTTTTTCTCTCCTCTTTATAAAATAAAGAAAAAAATCTGTTTAAATCAAGCTGCTTGACTGTTAAGCAACAGGCTGCAGGCTAGCTATGTGAGCTAATAGCCCGACTAACATAAGCTTCTTACACTTTTTTCTTTGTTTTATTTTATATATATTCCCTTAAGGGTTTTTAGCAAAACCATATTTATAAAAAAAAGTTTTAAAAACAACACATTAATGTTCAATCTCTTGCATTAAAAGCTGCAGGAATAGTTTTAAATTGAATGAACTAAACCATCATGTTAAAGTTTTTGTGTGTAACTGAGATATTGTGTGATTTTCCTGCTAAAGCAAACATTAAAGTAGCTCAAATTATGTATTAAATGCGTTAAAAAAAGCAGCTATAATGATGTGCTGCTGCTGTAGAAGATGACTTAAGCCAGGTTTTATTTACATACAAACATGTTTGCTGGGCTGTGATCAGGTGAAGCAGCTCTTTCCAGCATTGCTTCTGTTTTGTCAACTTTACTTTATCCTGTCATCTCCCACAAACCTCACCATTGTCTTTTTAAAGGGAAATAAACCGTGTTTTTCTTGTCTTTGTGTTTTAAACGCTGGAATGTGTGACAGTGATTTTTAAGAGAAACTGTGTTCTGCTTTGTTTATGAGGTATGAGGAATTTAGAAATCATTGCATTTCCTGCAACCAGGATCGACTCAGATTCATGTTTTTGGTAACAAGTGAAAGAATCATTAAATGAGATAATAAAATGATTGTGAGCCTTGGTACCTGTTGAATGAGCATAAATGGTATGAAGTGATAGTCTATGGAAGATTGAAGCCTGACCACGATAAAAACATCCTCCCTTAATTTAAAATAAAGTTTTGTATTTAAACTTAAAAAAAAACAACATATAAAAAATCTCCAGTTATTTCACCCATAACAGCTTAACAGCTAAATGTGTGGAGGACCCATAAATAAACACGTCACTTATAATCAAAAGTCTGAAAACATACTAAGTTAATTAGTTTGAACGTGAATTCATGAAGATTATCCTTTAAGAATTAAACTAATTAGTTACAATCAACCAATCAGTTATTTAGGATTGGAAATTGATCAGATTTTCATGATTCCAATTCCCTTATCGATTCTGTTTAATGAAAAAGCATTATTGTACAATTTCGGGAAATAAACTCATCTCCCCCTGATTTAAATAAACTAGCGTCACCTTTCTCTCGCTCCCTGAACTGCGGAGCAACTTCATAGCATGTTTCCTTACATCCATCACAATAGCTAGAATCATGTAAGAATTCCAGCTACCAGGAGTTTTAATTAAACATGCTAGCAATGAAGGGATGGATTAACGAGAAAGGCAGATTCCTTTAATAACCCCAAAGAGAGGTAGGAGATTGGTTTATTTTAGAATGACATATGATTTACTAGGAGTCACATTAAGCACAGGCAGTGATATAAAACTAGCTATAACCAGAGTTTCCTTCCATGCTGGTCGTAACTTTAGCTTTTGTCCGGAAGCGACAAAAACATTTGTTAAAATGTACGCCATGTAGTGTGTGCAGGTGTTTCTGCATGTTGGATGTGTTTCCTCCCAGGGATGCAATTGCCACTTTGCAATGATTGCAAAGCGCCTTGTTGCCATCTTTCTCTTCTTTAAAATGAACCCAAACTATTGATCGCCTTGGCCGCTTTTGTTTTGCTTTTCTAGACTTACGTTTGGTCACATCGTACTTGCTTACCGAATGCCGTGTTCGTAACTTGCGTAAAAAACGTGACGTAAGTCGTGCTGCCCAGAGCGGCTCTGGTGCAACCTGGAACCGTTATCATTAAATCATTAAATGAGCTGCCAAACGGTGCCATGGAATTGGAACACATGGAACCGGTTCTGAACAGGAACCGGTTTTAGAATCCCATCTCTACAGTCATTTTCAGCCTAAAAGAGGCAATTTTCTTAAAAAATACCATTGCTAGAAGCATTATGTGGTTAGGTGATATAAAAAAACTTCTAATAACAACAATTAACACAGCTCCTCTGAAAAAAACCCATCTGTCACCATGTAGATAGAAGCAAGCAGTGGATTTGCATCTCTCTCTTAGATAAAGCAGCTGAAACGGCTATCGCTGCGTTTTTCATTGCAAACAGTCCCCAGGATGAAAGGCTGTTCACACAAAGCCTGCTTCTATTGAGGGTTCCTCCTGTTAAAGGGAGGACCTCATTTCTACTGGCACTATATGCATGTTTAGTTTGAGGGATCGTTGCAACATATTAAGGCTGGACGATGTAGAAAAAACATTTATCACAACTTTCTTTAATATAACTCAGTTCAATATTGATCCAAAGGGGAAAAAGCCTTAGAAAGACTGTTAAAAATCCCCATAACACATGCAAGTGCAAACTTATAAGCGCTTCAAAATATTTCCTAAAAAATCTTTTTTTATGTATAAAGCACTAAATAGAATAAAGAAGAATAACTAAAGCAAATACAAATTATATAAACAAACAGTTAAAATTTAGAAACAATACAGAAATACTTGGAAAAAAAAAGAAACTCCCCAAAAAGTACATAAAACCTTAAATGTCAATCAGTAACAATAGGCTGCAGTAAATATTGAAACATTGGAAAAGTCATCTCACGTTATTAAAAAAGTTTTATTGCAGTATAAATAGATACTGATAAATGGAGGGATTGCTGCAGACTGGATAGAAACCTTTACTGTAGTCATGGCAACGTGTTAGGGAGGCAGCAGTGGTACAGTTGGACCTTAATGGTGGAATTTTCGTTCTTGTTCCTGCAGAGCTGGACTCAGAGCCGGTGCCGTCCTCCCGCCCCCACCTGTCCTTCCCTGAGCTTTTCCACAGCAAGAACATCTGGAAGAACCTGTGCGTCCTCGGCTTCACCTCGTAAGTCACCCCCGCATTAATTTAGCGCCATCTTTTGTGTCAGTGCAGCACTTTGTTTAGGGGCCTGCTGCAGCCTCATATTTCACTCTGTCTCTGAAGCCTGTGTTGATGCACCCGGGCGGGCGGGCGCTCGCTCACTCGCTCCCCTCATCTCTCCCCCTCAGATTCATCTCTCATGGCATTAGTCACTGCTACAGCTCTTTCCGTGGTGACGTCAGAGGCACCGCCCCCAGCTTCTACTGGACCTACCTGCTGTCTGTGAGCGCGGGAGGCGGCGCCTGGCTGCTGCTGTGGGCGACGGTGGACAGGTGCGGTCGCCGTGGCATCCTGCTGCTGTTCATGACGATGACGGGCCTGGCCTCTTTGATCCTCCTGGGACTCATGGAGTGTAAGCTGGCTTTGGAGGGCAGCGGGGAGCTACGTCTCGCTTTTCTGCATAAATATGAACTCAAGCAGGAGACACTATAAATAGCTCAACAAGGTGGAAACAGAATCTTTTCATCTCACTGGAAGTCTCCTCCTGCTGTTTGGCAATGATTAAACAAGGCTTTTGCTGGGATTAAAGTCCAGTTTCTAATGATGGAGACAGATTTAAGTTTATCTGAACTTTGATCGGCCATTTACCTGCTGGCTCTGACTGATTAAAAGCATACCGGTCTGCTTGGTTCATGGAAAAATTCAGCCTATGCTGTTTTTTTCTTTGTATTTTGTGTACACACATTTTAGAATCTCTGTCTCCCCCCGGTGGCTGACAAGTAACATAGCACTTGGCTTATGTAGGACACTGCAGAGAAAGTAAAGTCAAAGCTCTGTCAGGTGTTGTGCTGTAATCATTCATCAGTAACTAACAAGGTGATAAAACTGCTAAGCCAAAGGAAGCTGAGTTCACCTTCATGCCCCCCCCCCCCCTCCCCCTCCATCAGCACTGATGTTCCTCCTCTCCTCCCTGACAGATCTCAGTGAGACGGCCATCACCGTTTTCTCAGTGCTGGGGCTTTTCTCCTCCCAAGCCACCGCATCCCTCTGTGTCTTTTTCACCGCAGAGATCATGCCAACCATCATCAGGTAAAAAACACAGCAACTACCGCCTTTCTCTAATGACCTCTAATGACCCCAAAACAGATCAGAACAAACGCAGTAGATGAGGAGGCAGGACATGTACTCTATCAGTACTTAGCAGGTTTATGAGTCAACAGAGGCTTTCAGCCATTAAAGGAGATATTCAGTAAAACTGTGTTAATGTAAATGAATTATTTCAGATTCTCATGTGGAAATTCAAAGTAAATGTCACAGAAAATCCCAAAAAGAGAGCAAATGTTATCCTCACAGGCTGACTTAAAACCATCAGATTTCTACATGTGAACCACTTCTTTGTTATTTCTCAGTTTAGATCAAATTCGCTCCATATTTCTCATTTTATAAACTCATTTAAATAATTCATGTGCAAACAGCGTTCTTTAAGCAGGTTGAAACATCCTTTTTCTAAATGCAGCTTTGCTGCATGTTTCTACACGTCTCCTTTATACAATAATAAATATAAAGATTAAAAAGAGTTTTAACGCAATAAACCTTAATGTATAATCTAGTGAAATAAAGTTTGAGTAGAGCAGTGATGGAGATTTAATACCAGTGTTTACTCATCATTATTGGGGCTAAAATGCATCCATTCTGTCAGCTAGAAAGGGATTAATGTAAAACATGAAGACTGATTTTGTTTTAGATTTTAAAATAAGGAAAATTTTTTTAAATAAAGATGAAGAATGGATTTTCCTCTATATGATATCTTTTGATTTAAAAACAACATAACCTTTCAGTTAATAACAAGGAAAATAGATCTAAAAACATTTTTTTGGGTTCTTTTAATCTCATTCTGCTGTAAAAATTAAATCAAATATCTTTTTAAAACCCACTAAAACTTCTAAGAGCTACTGTGGTTTGTTCTTTATATAATCTAAACCATTATTAGGAGGCCCAGTAGAACCTTTGGCTTAAAAAAACACCTTAAATATTAAGATTAAGATATTTAACCTTGATGAAAACTGGTAGGACTGATTCTAAACAATAAGCTAAGCTAACAATGAGTTTCTGGAAATCTCTGAGCTTGATATTTAAGGGAAACTATTATCTCAAGCAAATGAATCTGTGTTCTGCTTTGTTTAAGAGGAATGAGGAACAAGGATGGATTCAGATTCATGTTTTGGGCAACAAGTGAAAGAAACATTAAATGATGACAAAATGCTTTCATTGTCACCCGTGGTACCTGTTGAATGAGCATCAATATTATGAAGGGATAATCTATGGAAGATTGAAGCCTGACCACGATAAAAACATCCTCCCTTAATTTAAAATTAACTTTTGATTTTAAACTAAAAACTATCTGAAATCTCCAGTTATTTCACCCTTGAAAAATAGGAACAGCTTAACGTATAAATGTGTGCAGGACCCATAAATAAACACGTCACTTATAGTCAAGTCTGAAAACTAACTTAAATAGTTTGAACATGAGTTCATGAAGAGTTTGTGTTTGAAGACAAATTCCTTTAAGAATTAAACTAACTAGTTACAATCAACCAATCAGTTATTTTCAGCCTAAAAGAGGCAATATTCTATATTCTTAAAAAATACCATCGCTAGAAGCATTATGTGGTTAGGTAATATTAAAACAACTTGTAATAACAATAATTAACACAGCTCCTCTGTAAAAAACAATAAGTTTCTGTAAATCTCTGAGCTTTAGAGATTTAATCAGGAAACCTTTCAGTCTGAATGAACTACAGAATACTGAAAATTATACCGGAAAGTCAACCAGCTGTTTAGCTGCTTTATATTTTGATATTTCATGTAACATTATTGTGATCCTGTGGTTTAAAGAGGATCTTCTGACCCTAGTTATACGTCAGTGTTGATAAAGAGGAGACTCTGTGTTTTCAGGGGCAGTGGCGTGGGCGCCGTGCTCGCCCTGGGCTGCGTGGGCCGCCTCAGCTCCCCCATCATGGACCTGAGGAACCACTACGGCTACTTCCTGCATCACGTCATCTACTCGTCTCTGGCGCTCCTGGCCGTGCTCTCCATCCTGCTGCTGCCAGAGAGCAAGAGGAAGCCTCTGCCTCAGACGCTGGGGGACGGGGAGCAGTACAGACGACCCCCGCTGGGCCGCAGGAGGAGGGACAACGTGCCGCTGCTCGCCACCCCCAACCCAGAGACCTAAGAGGAGAGCGGTGCAGCGAACAGAGGGCTGAATGGAGAGAAAAGGGCTGCGAAAGACTTTATGCTTTCTTAACATATCATATCACACTCATGTCATTCCGAACGCAGACGGACTGGTTGATCTGCCACACACCTCTCTGTTTCTCCTAACACCATCCAGGAAGCTCTCATCTTCTGCTAAGAGGCTCACCAGCATCCCGCTACGCCTCCCTCCCTCCCTCCATCCTCCGTGTGTCTGCTGTAGAGACGGCGTCCTCTGATCAGGCTGCAGTCCTTTCTAACTGCTCCTGCCGTTTGTCTTAACCTACATGGAGGATTTTCTGTCTGTTTTTGCTGAGGGGGAGCACAGGATATGTTCTCAGAGGTGTAGGAAATTAAGTTTATCTTTTTTTTTAAATAAGTCGTTTATGGTCCGACCTGGCACTGAAGCCGAGGAGGACAGAAGCGGTAACAGAAACGCCTTGTAAATACTCTAGATTTTTGGACTTCTTGGGGGGCGTCTGAGTTTTGTTTTAACACAAACTCTGAGGCTGGAAGCATCCAGTATGCTATGCATTGGGTGAAGGAAGTATAGCACTTTGCAAATCTTATTTGTTTTTTTGTCCATTTTTAATAATAAGTTAAATTGACAAATTTTAATTTAGAGAACAAGCCTGTGAATCAGATTCTAATCAGAAGTTTCCTGTTTAAGGTTTGGAAAACATTGAGAAGATCTGGCCTGGAGCCAGAAATATTTATATTATTTATGTTTTTAAATCAAATCAGCTAAATCTTAACTAGCTGAAACGGATTCATCCGCCCCCCCCTCCCCTCCTGTCCATACTGGGATATCAGCATGTTTGAAGGCTAGTTTTCTCCAACTCTTAAGACTCTCATACTTCTCTAGATCCCTAGTGTAAGCTGAGAGATGATGGAGGGATACAAGCAAGAAGAAATGGTAATCAGGATTAGAGGCGTCTCCGTTCTTTCATGGAAATAGAAAAGAGAGAAAAGCTGTTTGAATGTTTGTTGATGCTGGAGAAAAGGGCCCATAAGCATGCTCTGTGATGAGGGGCCCCTGAGGCCCTAATTGATCATTCATCCAGGCTCAGTTACACTTACAGGGTTCCTACATAGTTTGGAAAAAGTCTGGATTTACACTTCAGGTATTTTCCAGAGAACAAAAGTGATTATTAAAAAAAATATATATATATATATATATTTCCAATTTCAATTCTGTTTTTCATTGTCTAAATGTGATCTTCTTTCCTTGTTTCCTTTCTTCTTCCTTTTTCTTTAGTTACCGTCCTTGTGTCCTTCCTTCCTTCTTTCCTTATACAGGTGCTGGTCATAAAATTAGAATATCATGAAAAAGTAGATTGATTTCAGTAATTCCATTTAAAAAGTGAAACTTGTATATTATATTCATACATTACATACAAACTCATATATTTCAGATGTTTATTTTGTTTAATTTTGATGATTACAAATGACAACAAATGAAAATCTCAAATTCATCATATCAGAAAATTAGAATATTGTGAAAAGGTTCAAAATTGATGGCCCCTGGTGCCACACTCTAATCAGCTAATTAACTCAAACCACCTGCAAAAGCCTTTAAATGGTCTTTCAGTCTAGTTCTATAGGCTACACAATCATGGGGAAGACTGCTGACTTGACAGTTGTCCAAAAGACGACCATCGACACCTTGCACAAGGAGGGCAAGACACAAAAGGTCATCGCTAAAGAGGCTGGCTGTTCACAGAGCTCAGTGTCCAAGCACATTAATAGAGAGGCGAAGGGAAGGAAAAGATGTGGTCGAAAAAAGTGTACAAGCAAGAGAGATAACCGCACCCTGGAGAGGATTGTGAAACAAAACCCATTCAAAAATGTGGGGGAGATTCACAAAGAGTGGACTGCAGCTGGAGTGAGTGCTTCAAGAACCACCACACACAGACGTATGAAAGACATGGGTTTCTGCTGTCGCATTCCTTGTGTCAAGCCACTCTTGAACCACAGACAGCGTCAGAAGCGTCTTGCCTGGGCTAAAGAGAAACAGGACTGGACTGCTGGTGAGTGGTCCAAAGTCATGTTCTCTGATGAAAGTAAATTTTGCATTTCCTTTGGAAATCAAGGTCCCAGAGTCTGGAGGAAAAGAAGAGAGGCACTTCATCCACGTTGCTTGAAGTCCAGTGTAAAGTTTCCACAGTCAGTGATGGTTTGGGGTGCCATGTCATCTGCTGGTGTTGGTCCATTGTGTTTTCTGAGGTCCAGGGTCAACGCAGCCACATACCAGGAAGTTTTAGAGCACTTCATGCTTCCTGCAGCTGACCAACTTTTTGGAGATGCAGATTTCATTTTCCAACAGGACTTGGCACCTGCACACAGTGCCAAAGCTACCAGTACCTGGTTGAAGGACCATGGTATCCCTGTTCTTAATTGGCCAGCAAACTCTCCTGACCTTAACCCCATAGAAAATCTATGGGGTATTGTGAAGAAGAAGATGCAATACACCAGACCCAACAATTCAGAAGAGCTAAAAGCCACTATTAGAGCAACCTGGGCTATCATAACACCTGAGCAGTGCCACAGACTGATCGACTCCATGCCACGCCGCATTGCTGCAGTAATACAGGCCAAAGGAGGCCCAACTAAATACTGAGTGCTGTACATGCTCATACTTTTCATGTTCATACTTTTCAGTTGGCCAACATTTCTATAAATCCTTTGTTTTTATTGGTCTTCAGTAATATTCTAATTTTCTGATATGATGAATTTGAGATTTTCATTTGTTGTCATTTGTAATCATCAAAATTAAACAAAATAAACATCTGAAATATATGAGTTTGTATGTAATGTATGAATATAATATACAAGTTTCACTTTTTAAATGGAATTACTGAAATCAATCTACTTTTTCATGATATTCTAATTTTATGACCAGCACCTGTACTTTCTCTCTTTCCTTGGAGCCTCTTTGCTTCCTTGTGTCCCTCCTACATTTCCTTCCTTTCTTTCTTTTTTCTTCTTTCCTTCCTTTTGATTTGTCCTGTTTTTAAATGAATGTCAAAAACTTGGAACTCTGGGAATCTGAGTCTTAAAAAAAAATCTAGTTTTTACATGAAAAATGTGTTGCTTCTGTAATCTGACTCCTTCAGAAAGCCGCGCTACAGGAAGGACAGTCAAGAGCAAGTAAATATTTTACAGACTGCTATTGTTTATGGGCTCATTATCTTCTTTGGTTTGTAGCATTAAAGGGAATAGAGAGGCGGGGAGTTAATTTGGGTTTTTGAAGAAACACTGTGGTTAACGTTCTCACCTTTTTATCCCTCTCTGTATGTTGCACTCAACACCTCTAACACTTATGCGCTACTTTTTATCACTAATCAGGCTTGAATATAAAGATGTCTGACAGGAGATGTTCAATGATGAGTTTGATGCATTTAATTTAGATTTTATGTAAATTAAAACTGGTTATAAAAACTACATGGATTTCGACTTTATTATGCGAATATACACTCACCGGCCACTTTATTAGGTACCCCATGCTAGTAACAGGTTGGACCCCCCTTTTGCCTTCAGAACTGCCTCAATTCTTTGTGGCATAGATTCAACAAGATGCTGGAAGCATTCCTCAGGGAGTTTGGTCCATATTGACATGATGTCATCACACAGTTGGCGCAGATTTGTCGCCTGCACATCCATGATGCGAACCTCCCGTTCCACCACATCCCAAAGATGCTCTATTGGATTGAGATCTGGTGACTGTGGAGGCCATTTGAGTACAGTGAACTCATTGTCATGTTGAAGAAACCAGTCTGAGATGATTCCAGCTTTATGACATGGCGCATTATCCTGCTGAAAGTAGCCATCAGAAGTTGGGTACATTGTGGTCATAAAGGGATGGACATGGTCAGCAACAATACTCAGGTAGGCTGTGGCGTTGCAACGATGCTCAATTGGTACCAAGGGGCCCAAAGAGTGCCAAGAAAATATTCCCCACACCATGACACCACCACCAGCCTGAACCGTTGATACAAGGCAGGATGGATCCATGCTTTCATGTTGTAGACGCCAAATTCTGACCCTACCATCCGAATGTTGCAGCAGAAATCGAGACTCATCAGACCAGGCAACGTTTTTCCAATCTTCTATTGTCCAATTTTGATGAGCTTGTGCAAATTGTAGCCTCAGTTTCCTGTTCTTAGCTGAAAGGAGTGGCACCCGGTGTGGTCTTCTGCTGCTGTAGCCCATCTGCCTCAAAGTTCGACGTACTGTGCGTTCAGAGATGCTCTTCTGCCCACCTTGGTTGTAACGGGTGGTTATTTGAGTCACTGTTGCCCTTCTATCAGCTCGAACCAGTCTGGCCATTCTCCTCTGACCTCTGGCATCAACGAGGCATTTCCGCCCACAGAACTGCCGCTCACTGGATGTTTTTTCTTTTTCGGACCATTCTCTGTAAACCCTAGAGATGGTTGTGCATGAAAATCCCAGTAGATCAGCAGTTTCTGAAATACTCAGACCAGCCCTTCTGGCACCAACAATCATGCCACATTCAAAGTCACTCAAATCACCTTTCTTCCCCATACTGATGCTCGGTTTGAACTGCAGGAGATTGTCTTGACCATGTCTACATGCCTAAATGCACTGAGTTGCCGCCATGTGATTGGCTGCTTAGAAATTAAGTGTTAACGAGCAGTTGGACAGGCGTACCTAATAAAGTGGCCAGTGAGTGTATGTGTCAGTTTAAATGTAAAGCAAGATGAGAGTGAAAGTTTTCATATAACGGCCCTAGATTACCATCAATCCACTGACAAGAATCCCCCAATTATTTTTTTTTTTTCTTGTACTAAGTTTTAATTGGGGAAAAATATGGAATGAATCTTGCACAGTGAAGAGCATTTCTCAAAATAGGCAAATAATTGCATATAATTAGAAATATTATTTTTTTGTAAAATTAAACATCTAATCTACATTTATAAATTTTTTTGTGCGACTTATTATCCTGTAGAAACAATAAAAATAAGATTAGTAAAGCATACCTATAGTATATAGCTATAAAAGCATCAACTGGAAGTAGAAAAAGAACAAATAAATTGTTTATTTTAACTCAACCAAGGAGGATATGTATTCGGTTGTGTTTCTTTTTTGTTAGCTGAATTACTTTAAAAGTTACGAACAGATTTAAATGGAATTTTTACCAGAGGTGCACCTCAATCAGAACAAGTTCAAGGTCAATCTACAATAATTACACTATATTTAAAATTAAATCAACTAGAACATCTGTGTTTTCCAAATAAATAGCAGATGACACACTAGATTTCCATGAGGGCACTTCCTAGTATATAAACACACATATTCATATATCAGTGCTGTT